AATAGCCTATGTATTCATATCAATTTTCATAATGTCTTGAAATAATGAAAAACCTGGCCACTGGTCACCAAATCTTGGTGTTAGAATTGTTTTGAATTTAGTGCAAAATCTTTTTGTTGAAAAGGGCATTTCACCACGTAGTTCGTCATAAGCTCGAGTTTGGCAAGAATTCACGTTCGAGTTGTCTCACCTATCGCTGAGAAGGATGTCGCGACAAGCAACTTTCAAAGCAAACAAAGTATCGCGATACACGTAGTCATCACACTGACGCCCGACGACCACATGATCCGGCGATCAGCGCAACGCTCTTGGCGTTAATCGCGATGCTCCTGGTGATCCACGACGAGCAGTGGCGACTAAACATAGTACCGAAGAAAGAGAACGAGTACGAGAAGAACATATAACAATCGTTGGTCCGACACCTTAAGCCGTGTATACATCTCAGAGTCTGCAAATAAATTTTAAGCCATAAGTGTTTTATCCATCATTTAGATTTGTTGTGCTTAGGCTTATTTTATCGGTTAGATATGTGACTTGCACAAAGATTCCCCATAGAACCCCAACACTAGGGTTATCACAAAAGAGCTATATCGATAAAGTGCTTGAGCGATTTACAATATAGAACTACAAACCAAGACATACCCATGTGGCTAAAGGAGACAAATTTAGTCTAAGTCAATGCCCAAAGTGAAATCTGAAAATCCAGGAAATACAAAAGGTCACTTACACCTTGGAGGTTGGGAGCTTAATGTATGCTCAAGTATGTACAGGTCAGGATATTCTGGATATAGTTGATGTGTTAGGTAGATACCTTAGTAATCCTAGATTGGAGCACTGGAAAGTAGCGAAAAGGATGATGAGATACCTTAAAAGAACTAAAGATCATATACTCAAATATAGAATATCAGACCATTTGGAGATATTTTTACTCTGATTTTTCGGGGTGCCAGGATGGTAGGAAATCTACGTTTGTGTGTGTGTTTATGTTGGCTTGTGGTGCCATTTCCTAGTGTATCTTCAAAAAATAAAAAAAAAAAAAATAAAAAGAAATAAAAAAAATTACTACTTCCACTATGGAAGTTGAGTTTGCAGCGTGTTTTGAGGTATCACATCAGAGAATCTTGTTAAGGAACATTGTCACAAGACTGCGAATCAATTCGAGGTTGAAAGACCTATCTAGATTTTCTGGGACAATAAATCAACCATTCTATACCCCCAACAACATTCTAAGCTAGTTCACGTCAAAGTATATTGACATTAAGTTCCTAGTTGTGAAGGAGACGGTACAAATTGGTCATATTTCCATCGAACACTTAGGGAAAAAATCTATGTTAGCAGATCCTTAACTAAGGGTGTAACACCAATGGTGTTTCACGAGCATATTGCTCATATGAGCGTGTTGCATATTGAGGAAGCTTCGCTCTAGTAGGAGTATATGCAAAATTATTTCCATTTTAATTCTATGATATATAAAATACTTATTCTGGTTAGAAATAAAGTTTTGGTTCATGACACTTTGTGCACTATGTTATAGTAATTTATGATCTCATTAAGTTTGGACTAGTTGAGAATTGACACATGCCACATGTTCCAGAGTTTGATCTATGTGATTAATTCATGGTAATATATATGATTATTGATAGTTTAGTTGTGTCTATATGGGGAAAACTACTTTAGTTTCATGGTGTTGTGATTAATGGACCAGATTGTTCAATTTCTGTAATATGACCATTTTTGAGCTAATAAAGTATAAAGTATTCTCAAGACACACATTAAATCTTGTGGGAAATTGTTATATCTATTTTGCGATTAAATATGTGTAATAGATACATTAGGTCATTATGTTGTTTAGCCAAATTAAGTGATTTAATTGTCATACAAATATATTAGCTAAGGAACTTAATTTATATTGTGAAACGATTAAATGCGAATACTCGATAATATTATTATTTCCTAACATAACAAATTAAATAGTAAATTAAGCTTAGGTTACCTAATTAACAAATTAATTTATGTTAAAATAAATAATGGATGGAGTCCGTGATAAATAAAGGACTTAGGAATTCTTCACTAAGACATAAGAGAAATCGATGCCTCACTCTCTTCATAAGATGGACTCTACGGTTTCTTCATTACGTCATGAAAGAAGAGACTTCAGATCACATTCTTTTAGAAGAACTTAAAACCCAGATCAAAACTTAAGCTCGAACGCAATCAGTCGACATGAATTCATCATATACGTTTTCGCTATTCAATTATAATTCTCGATTATTCATAAGTGATGTTTTATTTGGCATAAAGTTAAATTCAATCAAATTTAAATGTAATAAAACAAGCACGCAATAACAATAAGATGAAACCAACAATATTACGACATTATTCTCTTTTTCTTTTTCTTTTTTTTTTTTTCTTTTCTTTCTACCACTTGATATGAAATAGAAATCAATTAAGCCAAAATTCTTGTTTGGCTTAAAACGTGACAATAAACAATATGCACACCTCCATTACATTGACTGACCTCTAAAGACTTTTTTATACACTCCTAACCTAATCACCCAAATTTCAACCTTTCCAAATTATTCTACCTTTCAATATCCATAGAAGTAACTGCCTTCCCAATCCGCAGAAAACTCATTGGCTCCTCTTTCTTCCAGTTGTTTCCCTTCTTTTGCGCCTCGACATCACGAAAACGGTCATCGTTTTCCTCTTCTCCCAACACGAATTCCGATAAAGGCCGATACTCGACGACTTTTTCCGAATACAACTTGACCATGACCACATAACACGCCATGGAGAAAAACACCACTCCTATAACGTACCAACTGAATTGGATATTGACAAGAGATTTAGCACGCTCTAATGCCTCCTCCCCGTGGCATCGGACCACTTTATGTCCCTCCTCGAAGTTCATGAAGCAGCCTTTGGGAATTAAGCTTGGTGTCCATAACATGAACCCCATCACCATAAACCAAACCCCTTGAAAGACTATACTAATCGACCTCACAAAGCTATTCACGAAGCTCATGGGACAATTGATGCCTAATATTGTCGCCACAAGTGATATAAATATAACGATTTGGAGTAGCCAATGGTATTGACCCTCGACCCCCATGTGATCGGCCGAGTGGAGGTGGAAGAGTAGGAGTTGGTGGCCGAAAGTCAATGCTCCTAGCAAGTTGGTCAACTCATAACAAGCTGGCAAGGCCAGTTTGTCTAATAAGATGGAGAAAAAAGCATACATGAAAAAAGTTAGAGAAATATTCGCGTGTTCAAAGTTGTGGAGGTGATTAGAAGGGATGGTCCAATCCGGGTCAAGCGGTTGGTACCGTTTGGGTCCGATAAAGAGCTCCATGGATATGGAGATTGAGCAAACAGCCATAATGGAGTAGAGCTCCAAATACTTGATTCTTGAAGTTGGAAACCATGGTAAGGATATGTAGGATTTGGGGCTGCCAGCGTGGAGTTTGATGTGGTTTATTAGATGCCATAGTCCAATGAGAAAAAATCCGAATCCTGGCGCCACATGGCCTATAAGGGTGCCCATGTTAATTTTCTTGATTTTTTGAACTTTGTCTTGAGAATATTATTATTGACTTTGGGTTGGGTTAATGTTTTTTGGGACAAGTGATAAGAGAATGAAATTATGTGTGGTTTTTAAATGCGTGTGATGGGTATTAGAAATGAGGAAAAATTGGTGTCTGGAGGCTTCTAAATGGATTATAATTATAAGTTTGACGAATTAACAACTTGCATGTGGTGGAGACTTGGGGAATAAGTAGTTGACCGGGGACTAATGTATTTAAATCTGTCTTAGCTAGAGACGTGAGATGGCCTTTATATTCTAGATTAACGTTAGAGAAGGCTAAATTGAATTGCTTGTACGATTGGGTTCTTAGTAAAGAAATATATATTATTTACCAAATAAAAAATAAGAGAAGGCTAAATTGAATTGCTTGTATGAATGGAGTTTTAATAAAAAAAAGTATATTATTTACCAAATAAAAAATAAAAAAACAAAGTCAAAAAAGAAAGATTCTATTAAAATACCAAACACTAGAAACTTTTGAATTAGATAATCTATATCTATATCTATATTTATAAAAATATAAAAATATTTGACATTTACATGAAATAGTAACTAAAATCACTAGATTTGCTACAATAGGCACGACAATAATTGATGGATTGTCTAATACGGGTTACCCCAAAAAGGAATTAGGTAAATTTTTCGATTTACTTGAGCAAGCTGTTGACAACATTCTTAAATGAAAGGTTACCCTGTGGAGATTTGTGTTCTATCTTTTTTTTTTTTTTGTTTTTCATTTTCTAAAATTACTACATTTATTTATCCGCTTTATGTGTATGCTGTTAAATCAATCATGTGAATCAATATATACATTTTCAACAACCAAAATTAACGATGTCAGCATTTAGTCACATTTATGTTTGTGTTTAGTTACTCTTATCATGAATGTCACAAAAAATTAAAAAAAAATAAAAAATAAAAAGTACTAAAAGCTTTTAGAAGTGTACAAGCTTTTAATCATGAGACGCTTTCTAAAGTATGTTACTAGTACATATATTTATATAGTTTTTTTTTATTTGAAATAAAAACTAAAATTGTATTTAAAATTTTTAAAAGTATTAACCTTGGTAATTTTTTAAAAAAATTCAGAAAAAAAGAATCTGCCAATAAAACTTTAATTTCGAATTTTAAAAATATTATGATTTTGTTTTAACGTAATTTTTATTTATTATGGAAACAAATTTATCTATTAATTTCAATATAAATAAAGATACTCCCTTAATATATATCACATCCGCAACATTCCATATCCATTGCAATTAATATCACTTAACCGCAACATTCCATATATAAACTGAAAACAGATATTCTCATTAATATCACTTTGTGCATTTGGAATTAATACTATAAACTATATTGTGTTACATGATTCATTCATTTTATTTATATATGGACGTATTTTTAACGAAAATAACTATTGTATTATAGTATACATATTTGCAAATTTCTGTAAAAGACTAACATTAACTTAATAAGTATTTTATTCGAAATAAGATTCTAAATTATCCCATTTCTTCAAAAAATATGAACGTTTATGGGAAAAATTCTTTAAAAATAAATAGCAGATTTTAATATATATACCCGATATTATTCAGATCATCTATATATATATATATGGGATGGATCCAATGAGACCACTCCTTAAAATGAGTACGTGAGACTCAATCTTAGCCACTCATTTTATCTAGATAAAAATCAATTAAAATATACATTAATTAAATAATACTTTGTATCGCCTAAAGCTGGGCGGAGACATGCTAGACGGGTCAGTTCTTCACTTGGCACAGCAAGAAGGTAGCCCAATCCATCATAGAGCGAGTGCCATTTCGTTGAAGAGTGAGACTGATTCTTTTAGTTGACTCCGGCGTTGACCGTTGACTCCGACGTTGACCGTTGACTTCCGGCGAGAATAGTTGACTCCGGCGTTGACCGTTGACTTCCGACGAGAATCGTTGACTTCCGGCGTTGACCCGTTGTATTGAAATAAATAACCTAGCAACAAAAGACATTTAACCTTGAGTGGTGTAGTGGTTGCATTGCTTGTTTTGCTTCCATGAGGTACCAGGTTCAAATCCTATGGGTTATAAATTTTTTATAAAAAAAAATACAACTAACTTAGCAACATCAGACAACTAACCTAGCAACAAAACACAACTAACTTAGCAGCATCAGACGCAGCATCAGAAAACTAACCTAGCTTTCTCTCTTTATTTTTTTTCCTACCCATTTTTGCCTTCAACCACCACCTCCTCCTCACCTCAGCCATTAACCCCGCCTAGCAACCGCCGCCGGCGGCCTTCGGTCGCCGGGGACAACCCATTTTTTACATATCATATTTACTCATTTTTACCCTATCTTTCAGCCTCGGTTTATCATTTTAGTCATCTAATCCCTGTTTTCAACCAAACATGAACACCACAGTCATTTTTCCAGCCAACCGACAACTCCCATCAGACATTCTCGCCTCGGATGTGGAGAGTTTCATAGCTCAGCCAGAATTTCAGGAAGCTCTCTCAGCCTTCCTCGAAAAAAACAAAAACAAAATCAAAAACCCTGATGAAGGAGAAGAAAGCCAGAATAGGGAAGAAGGTGAAATTATCGAATCCGGCCATCACCCAACGCCCAAAGCTCAGCAAACAGAAAAAGGAAAAATTAGAAAAAATAAAGATATGAAGAATGGCCGGCCCTCAGTGATGTCCCTCGCGGAGGAAGAAAAGACCAACCTTCCGATGGTCACATCACAAGAGCCCCCATCCCCTCAAAACAGTGAGTCGTCGCTGAAAACCGCCTTGCCGGAGAAGAGACCCTCCGCCGCCACATTGACTGGTCAGCTCTCATCCCCCAATCCTCAGCCTTTAAATGGACATATGGTAGGGTTTGGCAAATTCAATGGCAACGTGGCTAACCCTCAGCCCATCTCAATTGGCAATATTGTATCAAATGACGATTTGGGCCATAAAACTCTCTTGTTTGAGCCCAATTCCCTTGCCCAACTTGCCCATCCTTCTCAACATAATTCAGCCCATCTAAATTCAATCCACCACCAATCTCAAGCACCAACCTATCAAACTAATCCGGCCCAACTCACAGCCCATTCTCTCTCAACCCACAATTCAACCCGCCCCCTCCCAACCCGATACCACATCTCAATCCAAGCACCAGAACACCAAGGCTGCAGAACACACCAGGCCCGTCTCTCATGAACAGCCCGCCACCATCCAACAGGCAGGCACCACCAAACTTTCCGGCGCCGGCGCCGGCACCGACACCCACGCGACCGTCGGAAATTCCCAACTGGTCAGAACTTCACCCGGGCCGGGCTCGAAAGCGGTTCTTTCGAAGGGAATCCTCGGACCCGGGCCGATTTCAACCTCCCCGACTGATCTCATTGTCGGAAACGCCACCTCTGATGCCGGAAATCCTAAATCGGCCATCCTGTACGTGAGTGAAGAAGGAGTGGTCGCTACGAGCATAAGTGCAATGGCCGCGGAACATGTTACCGCAAACAACCCGACTGAGACACCACTGACGGAAGACCCGAAGGCCAACAAGGCTGCAGCCGGGTCAACTTTGGGCACCGACACGGCACCTTTTTCTGGAAACTTCCCGAAGGTGATACCGTCATCGAGCACTGACACGGCTAATCCCGCTTCAGCCGGACCCCCTCCGGGCTTTTCCACTGGCCCGCGTTCATTCCGAGAGGCTATCACGGGGAAGAGAGATAGCAAAACGAATGGCCCACCTCTGACACCAAAGGACTTCACCTTTGACGGGGGATACGAGCATGCTTGCGGAACCATTATCCGCTTGGAGGGAAACAAAGTGAAGGCCCGATATACTGAAGCCGAATCCGTTGTTCTTGCAGGTAAGTTGGCAAACACCCTGGTTTTTAAGTTTTCTTATGCTATCCCCGCTCCCCGAGATATATCTGTTGGATTAAGAAAACTGGGTTTTAAGGGTAGAGTGTCATCGAAGTGGTATAATTTTAACCACCTCCTAGTCTCGTTTCACCTCCCCGAGGACTACAACGAGGTCTGGCTTAAGACCTCCATTCATGTGTGTGGATGCCCAGCTAGGGTGTTCAAATATTATGCCGGGTTTAACCCGAAGACGGAGGCGCCGGTTGTCCCCGTGTGGTGCCGCCTTCCCGGCCTACCACCCCATCTTTACGATCGTACTGCCATCACTACACTAGCTAAGTGTATTGAGCAGCCGATTCGTATCGACGCCTCGACGGCCCTTCAGACAAGGGCTAACGTGGCGTGATTTTGCGTCGAGATAGATCTGAGAGCTGAGCTCGTTCATGAGATTGAGATTGAACAGGGCTCGGAGTCTCTTGTTCAGCGGGTGATCTATGAGAAGATCCCCGCGTTCTGCACCTCGTGCAGCCATGTGGGTCATGTCGCGACCGATTGCTACATCAGTGGCAATAAGCCACGGCCCGCCCTCCCGCAGCGCCATCTTGCGACCCAGCAGGGAACCTCCACTAGCCAGAGGGACCCGAAGGGAAAGGGCAAAAGCCCTCTCCGCGCGCCCGAGACCCCGAAGGGGTCTAAGGATAAGGGCAAGACTGTGATTGTCGAAACTGCCCAAACTGGGAAGGATGCTCATCTTAACCAGCCTAAGCAGTTGGCCTTAGTGGGTCCCAAGCCCAAGACCACGGGTTTTATCCCCAGACAGACATTACAGACGGCCTTCAAGGCCAACCACTCATATTTTGCTATTCTATCCCCTGAGACAGAGAAGGAGGCTGTTCCTTCCTCCAGCAGGCCACCTAGGATTACCGACCTTACGATTCTGGATGACGATGACCTCCTTGGAGACGACATGGACCAGCCGGACGCCACGGCCAGGAGAGAGTCCATCCACCTATCCGATGATAGTGTGCGCGATGCTTGTCCTTTGACCGTCCGTGCATCTAGCCCGGTCCGATATTCATATTCGAGGGCTACTGCCGCCACCGCTCCCCCGAAAGGGGATGAGTCGGCCCACCCCATCCCTGCTGAGATTGGGAGCTCGGTCGAGCTTATAGCCAGCTCCCAGCCTCCTCCTAGCGGCGAGCACCCGAGTGACCCGCCTGCTGGACACCCTCTTTCACCCATCCCCGCGCAGATATGCGGGCTTAACCGCGCGCAGCATGACGTCTCGTGCGAGAGCTTCGCCTCTAGTGCTTTTCTTCACCTTGACAGACAGGAGACAGCCCCGGAGATGGGGCAACCTGCTAGTGCTGTTGTAGGTCAGTCTGTTCAGCCAGACGACTCACAGGCCACGAGTACATACCGAGGCAGACAGACCTCGAGGACCAGAGCCACGCAGTGCACGAGGCGGCGGACGATCTCCCCTGCTATTGGACCCTTCCGCCGCACGACACGACGGACGATCTACCCTTATTTAGGTGGCCCGAATCAGTCTCGCCATAGGCGGACTACGTCCGGTGGCTCTCACGACAGTTGATATGTCCATCACAGCCATTACTTGGAATGGCCGTGGCCTGGCGAACAGGGCTACCCTCTCTCACCTTCATTCTCTCATTCGTGACCACAGAGTCGATTTTGTTGGCTTTATTGAGCCAATGATTCGCACTCCTTCTTTTGACCACTACTCGCGTCGCCTGGGCTTCCACTCGGGCGTGGGTAATATTTCACACAAGATCTGGTTTTTCCACTCACGTGACTACACTTGTCAGGTCCTACGAGACACCGATCAGGTGCTTCACGTAGAGATTTCCGCTGCCCACCTCCCGGAGCCCATCTTTCACACCTTGGTTTATGCCAAGTGTACTAGGGTCGGGCGATATGACCTTTGGGACACCCTGCGTGAGATTGCCTAGAGTATGGAGGGATTGCCATGGATGGTTAGTGCCAATTTCAACATCTTTCTGCATCCCGATGAGCGTGTGGGTGGCCGTACGGACCGGTCACGGGAGATGTGGGATTTTGCTCAGGCGGTGGCGGACTGCGAGTTAATTGACGCTGGATGTGATGGTGAGCCCTTCACGTGGGTGAGGGACGGACTCAAAGAGAGGTTAGACCGTGCCTTAGTTTCTGAGGCGTGGTCGAAGGTGTTTGCGGTTACGACCGTCACACACCTTACTCGATTCGGGTCCGACCATTCACCCCTTCTCATCCGGTGCCGATTTTCGAGCACCCGCCGCCGGCCTTCGTTTAGGTTCCAGAACATGTGGGTTCGCCACCACTCCTTTCATGACACTGTCAGGGATTCTTGGCTTCAGCCGACTGGGCTCTTCGGGATGCGCAATCTCGAGGCGAAGCTCGACAGACTGCGGCGTCGGTTGAGACAGTGGAACTGGGATGTTTTTGGAAACCTTCACCAGCGCCTTGCTGCGGCTCAGAGTGCGCATGCGACGGCTGAACGGGCCTATGACCTGGATCCTACTCCGGAGAATAGGACTGCCATGCACCGCTGCCACGCCGAGTACCAGCTCAG